CCCCCCCCCCCCCTCCCCCCGCGTATCCAGGCCGGAGTTGCCGCCGCCATTGCGTTTGACGACGTCGTGAGCGGTGGGGAGCCGGTTACCTCGGCGGCGGCGGCAGCAGCAGCAGCAGCAGCAGCAGCAGCAGCAGCAGCAGGGGGGGTTAGCGCCGATGTGGGGTCTGAAGCTGCTGGCAGCATCAACCAACAGCTGCTGCTGCGGGACCGGGATGTTCCTCTTGCAGAGAAAGGAAGCGCTAGCACGGCGGACGCGAGGGGGGAAGGCAGCGATAGCAGCAGCAGAAATCCAGGTTCCCTGTTCGTCATCATGGGGCTCTGCTTTCTGGTGGCGGTCGTGTGCGCCCTGGACAGGGTCGCCATGTCGGTGGCGATCGTGCCCATGGGAAACGTCTACGACTACTCCGACACGACCAAGGGGCTGGTATGTAGTTCAGAAGCCGACATCAAGCCACTGACTACATAGCCAACGCCGACTAGTTGGTTTGATATCGGCTTCTTTAAATGTTGATCGTGTGGTACGAATGCTCCGACTCATTCCCGAGGAGGGTTACTCCCCTCGCCCCCACGGCTAACTTTTCTTGAGCCAATTTCAAACCATTAGACCTCTCAGCGCTGACTTGTCTCATGGTTTGATTTCGGCTGCTAACGTAGCGGTTGTTTCCGTGAGAGAAGGACCGCCATCACCATCGGAGGCGGATTCCCACGGGTAATTCCGGATGCCCACGGTACTTCCGAATTCCCACGGGTACTTCCGCCCTATTAGTTTGTGCACTATTGGCGTAGAGCTGCCTCATGCCTAACGCCGCCGTACGAGATGTTGTGGGTGGTGATAGAGTTGATGGCAATGATAATCCTCCCGCCCTGTCCGCTCTTCAGAAGAGTGGCGCCTGCGAGTACCGGCGTTGTTTTGCTGGCTTGCAGCGGGCGGGCTGGCTGGCTACCGCCATGGCTTTACGAAGAAAAAGCGTTTGCGCCATGACCCGAGACTAAGATGCCCCCGGAAAAGGCGATGGGTCACCTTCAGTTTCGCCCGTGGTCACTGCACGACCGAACCGAGTCATTGCCGTTCATCTTCGTGATACATTCGTCGCGATGTCTCCGCATGGACACGATTATTTAAAGCTTGGTCCGGCCCACCGCCGCCCCCGCCCGATGTCCGCCCTCCGCGCGTGCGCCTTGCAGATCAGCAGCGTGTTTTCGTGGGGGTACATGGCGTCCATGGTGCCCTCGAGCGTGCTGATCGGAGTTTGGGGGCCGAAGGCAACTATAACAGCCGGTGAGAAGGAGCAGGGCGGTAGGCAACAGCGGCATTCCAGTTTTTGTTACTTGCCCGCGGTCGCTAAGAAGCGGTGTTCATCTAACGGTTCAGCGGGGTCCGTGTAGCACCAAGCCCGGGGTATTGGGTGCCGCGATGGAACGCGCCGTGGGGAAAAGTTTGGCATGAGAGCGCGGAACCATTGCCGCGCTCCTAGGGCGAAACGCCTCCTGAGACCATACTAGGTCGTGCGAGAATGACAAGATCGTGCTTGAGATGACAACAGCCGGGACTTGCTAGCGGTGTGCGCGCGAGCGATTTTTGTTTTGGAGGTTGTAGACGAAGAAGCCCACGTTGTTCTTGAGAGCTGTGGTAAACGCGATACTCCAGTAGGTGGCCCGATCTGTTGCGGCAACTTCGACTAGTGGAACCGCCGATATGGTGGCATCAAAGCCTCTTGTCACGATCTCAATATGCACATGAACCCGAAATATCGAACAGCGGCACTGCCCCGAATAGTGGCATATTCTCGTCTCGTCCCTGCATGCCTTGTTTTGAAAACAATGACACCGTTGGAGTCAGGCGTGTTTACCTGAAAGCGGTTGTGTTACGCTTGCTACACACCAGGTGTGCTCGTTTGGTCGGCCGCTCAAATGCTGTCCCCCACGGCGGCCGGGGTATCCCTGGAAACCTTGCTCGCGTGCCGCTTCCTCATGGGGGTAGGGGAAGCCGTCACCATGCCATCAATCCAGGTGAGGAGGCGTCGTCTGTGCTTCACCGTTCGCGCCGTCTCCATCGGCATTCGTCCGTTTTTGGCCGTCGTTCCATCTTGCATGTAGCCCATACCACCCGGTTGCCCGCCCTCTGTAAGCTTTCCCCCAACGCTGGTGCTTTTACTGTTCGATCCTACTACCGTAGCAGTGGTAGAGCACTTCCGGCTTGAAATCGGACAAGCGTTGTTGGCCGTTTTTACCGACTCTCGCTTCCCCCCATTGTCGTCGCTACGGTCCCCCCGCTTCATCCGCAACGCACCCGGGTTTTCCACGGAAGGCGATCGTGGCCGAGAGGGTTCCGCAAGATCAGAGAAGTCGCTGGCTGGCCCTCATCATAAGCGGGCTACAGGTGCGGCCCGCTTTTTGCCGTCTATTTTTTCGTCGCCGTTTTCAGGCACTCATGAGCTACACCCCTCCCCCATGTTAACTGCTTAGCTTTCCTCCGTGCTGGTGTAACAGCAGTTGGATGCGGCCCGTGTTTTCTATTAGGCTGCTTTTCGTCGCCGTTAGGCACTCATGAAATTGTTTCCCACCCCAATGCCACTGCTTAGCTTTCCTGACACAAAGTGCTGGCAGCGGTTGGTTGTGCGGACGTTTCTACCGGGACGCGGCAGCCGCTTTTTTCCCCCGGTCCCCGCCCAACCCCCCACGTGGACACGCACAACACAACGCTGAGCTGACCGCCCCCTACCCTCTCGACCCGCCCCTTACCCTCTGGTGCATTGTTTTTCGGGTGCGTCTCACTCCCCGTCGTCGCCGCCGTTGATGTTTGGTGCGGCGGTTTTCTCTTCCATCCGAAGATCGGCACGGTGCTAGCGTATTGGGGCTCGCCTGTGATCGTGGATACGTGGGACTGGCAGGTGAGCCGAGCAGGGGGGGGGGG